CCAAAAATAGGTTTGACTGTCTACTAAAGACACTTCTCTTTCACTACAAAACAGATAATGAACATAGAAAATCTAACAAATTTGCTTCGTTTAGAAAGTTGTGGACTAAATTTGTTCGGAATTGCATAGAACACAACACGCCATTTGAATATATTACTATAGACGAGACATTTTTGAGTTTCAGAGGCAGTTGCCCTTTCAAGTGTACATGCCATAAAAGCCAGACGAGTACGGACTGAAAATTATTTCAATGTGCAATGCTTCCCCTCTATTTTTGTGATGAAATACCTTATTTTGGAAAAGAATCTAAATAGTAAACAACGGATTTGCTGTTACGCATTCAATAGTGCCTAAAAGTAATTGAATCAGTTAGTAGTACCAATACAAAAGTGTCGTCAGATAATTGGTACAGCTCTTGTGAGTTACCCGAAGAACTGACCAAATATAACCTGACTATTTTGGGGACAATGAGAAAGAATAAAACTGAAATCCCTCAAAACCTTTTGAGTGAAAAGCGTCCTGTTAAGTCGTCATTATTTTTGTATGAACCTGATAGAATGTTGGTTTCAAACATTCCAAAACGCATGAAGAACGTGATGGGTCTGTACATTCTACATACGCTATTGATATCGAGACGGAAAAGCCTGAAATAAATTTATTTTATAGCATGACCTAAGGCGGAGGAGATATTTTTGATAAATAGTGTCACTCAAAAACAAGTACTCGTAAAACTAAACGTTGGTCAATGAGGTGGTTTTGGCAATGTTGAATGCTGCAGCTTTGAATGTACTTATCATTTACAAGCTAAATAGAGCTCATGAATTGCAAACCAATTTTGATCGAGCTACATTTTTTAAACGCCTAGCATTTTCACCAAACTAAGTGTTATATATGCACCCTAAATTTCTTCTTCTTTTGCTGTTGGTGATTGGGCGCTCAACAGTTGGTAGCACGCGACGCACTGGCGCAGTCTGCCATTCTCTGGCTGCAACGAGCATGCCTCAGTCTCTCGCCGTCAACCTGCGTCAAGCGTAGCGGACGGGCGTTCTGCTCGACGTGTTCCCGAGTGACCGTTAATACGTTGTCGCGCGTTCTCACGTATAATGTATTGTGAATACAATAAACGCTTTATACTTTAACTTTTCCGAGTGAATTATTTATCATCCCCAAGAACATAACACTAAGAGAAGGGAATGATGAATAAGTTCCTCCAAACAATACTTTAAAGCGAAATTACAAACACGCTGGGGAAAATGGGAGTTCAACAATCTACACACCCTGGACCATCAGAAAGGCCCGGCAAATGGACCTGGTGAGGCACGCGATACGAAGCAACCGCCAAATGGTCGGAGGGCGCCCATCCCTAGGACGCATGGGGACCCAGCAGTCAAATTCGTTGCGATGACACGAGGAAAAACAGTAGTAGAATTCGTTTCGCTGTTACCCATCCATTTTGGTATCGTATGAGATTCAGTAACTGAGATGATTTTAAAGAAAATCTATTTTTGTCCCAACCAGAAATTGAACCCCGGATCGCACCATGGTAAGCTAGTACACTGCTCACGAGCCACCCGAGGGCTCCAACAATGATTCCAGTTACAATTTTAAGTATTTATTAATAGAAATGAGTGAAATCATATTCATTACGTAACATATTTGAAAATACAAACGTTTCCTTTTTTACGTTGAAGTCTGATTCAGAATCTGAGGCTTCATCACCTGAATTCGTCCCACAATGAAGGACTTGAGGCTCCTCAGGCAGACTTTCATCCCCCCCTCTTCATGAGATTCAGAAGTTGTTTCTTGATCATCTGTGTTACGATGACGCCGTACTGCTCCCTCCTCAGGTTCCCCTTCATCAATTGTTTCAGTCTCAACAAGAGATTCTACATATCCTCTTTTCCAGTTGTCTGCTTTTCCAGTGACCTTCCATTGTACTTTAATGGTTGGCAGTACTGTGATCTTCAACCTCACACAAATCTGAGTCCAAAACATTTTTTAAAAAAATTGTTGCGTTTTCAATTGCGTCTCCAAACAGTTTTGTTACCTGAAGCAGTTGAAATTGTGTCTACATTTTGCCTGTATCTGTGTCTGTGGCGCCCACAAAAAGACCTAGTAGTGCTGCCAAAGCACATAGTTTCTCGCATTGTGTCTGAAGGCTCCGCAACATTACGCTACTGCCTAACCAGCAAAAAGTGTTGTCAAGCAGATCATTATATTTCCGCCCCGAGACGCGAACTCAGATCCTCGGAACTAGCGCGCCGGCACTCACACCACTTCGCCACAGAAGCGCCGCAGGGTTCGAACTCTGACGAAGGTATAAAAAGGATAAAACTCGATTTATGTCAAAAATTCAACAATCAAAATATCCGTTAGAAACTCTCAAACCCTTTAGCCCGTTAAGATCAATTAGGGTATATCAATTTTTGAGAAAATCAGCTGAACTATTTAGGCGCTAGCGTTAACCATACACGAACAGACAAACGGACACACGGGCATTTTGCCGTCAATCGATTTTTCAGTATCAAGAACCAACACATGGATTCTGGCTACACTAAAAATTAAAGGATTTTTTCTAAATTTAGCAACAGGATTTATCCACTTTTTCATTACCAGAAACCAGCAATGAGGTTTATTCTGGCGAAATTTCGGCGTTTCCTGACGCACTATACATAACCTTTTCTTTTTACAAAGAATTCGTATGGCGTGTAAGTAAAACACTTTCATCAAATTAAAATTCCCGTGTGGGACTCGAACCGGGCACCTTTTGGTTTCAAGTGATAAACTCGAACATGCCACAACCTCGGACATCCAGGAGTACAAGACTGCCACACTTCCACATTACTCAAGACAAAATTGTTTCAGTTCTGACTACGGAAGAGACAAGGGGGTTAAAAGTTGCAAATTTGAAAATTATAAACACACTTCACATTTATTTATCTTGACTGATTGTGTTTGTTAGTAGAAGTGCTTCAAATATTTTTCAATTAAGTTTCCGCAATTTTCAATAGTTTTGTTCGGCAACAAAGGATTTTGACAAATAACTATTCCTGAACGACGCTCGAACAAGTGAACTTTGTCTCTTAAGCAATAAGACAATACACAATATTTAACCAACCTCAGCCATCGGGTTCGCACAGGTTTTAGACATTCCTAATAATGGTCATAAGAGCTTCGTGTTTCAGTTACAGCATTAGGTGGCGGAAAAATTAACAAAATGTAAAGGATGTTTACATCATTTGCGCAGAAAAGGTTTGTAGCTCAGTAGACATAACTCGACACGGTAAATAATGTTTGCTGGTTAAAGGCAACGGAGAATTGTGACAAATATTTATCCCTGAGACAGCCTCGAAAAAGCGGCCCTTCTTTACGAAACGCTGAGACCGAACTCGACATTTAACCTCTTCGGCCACCCGGGTTATACAGAGAATCGGCACTTCTAGAATAGTCATAAGCGCTCAAAGACAACAAATGACTTGATGGTTCATCGTTTTACAAATCCAATAAGAAACGTGAAAAATTGTTTAAAAGCTAAAAATTCGAAAATCACATACAGACACTTCCAGTTTACTTATCTTTATTAATACTGTTTGCGATTAGAATTGCTTGAAATGGTTTTCAATTAATTTTATGGAATCCTCAATTCTTTCCTGCGACAACACAGAATTGTCACAAAGAATATTTCTCGGACAATACAGGAAGCCGCCGTCTTTCCCTCCAAAGAGCTGGGCCCGTTCCCACCGATGTAGCCACCTTTGTCATCCCGTTAGGACAGGAAGTGAATACATCCATTATAGTAATACGTTTATGATACAATTTTGTTACAATTTAACATTACACTTATGTTACAATTTTGTAGTATTGAAATTCTTGATAATTTTCACAAAAATCGAACAATACCCAAAAATGGCACTAGCACCATATTTCTTACCATCCCTTATTATATATGTGGAAAAAATTTAAAGAAAATATTTGGAGCGGCTTTTGAGAGATTTTTATTCCTTTTTGTAAACTTCAAACCCAAATTATGCACAAACTTCTCGTTTTTCAAAAAATTGAACAGGACATTTTTTCAAGTGGTAATTTTGTACAACAGGCTTTGCCTGAGACAAAACCCTCAATCTTAAATTTTGTACTTTTAAATTCGTTTTTTTATAATTTTCGAAATAAAGCAATTTTTAGCAGCATATTTCTTACCATCCCCTACATGTGTAAAGAAAACTTTTAAAAAAATTTGGAGGTTTCTTTCAGAAAAAAGTTTTCTTCAATTTTAGGTGCAAATTACGCAAAAACTACTTTTACAAAAAAGTGTTCATGACCTTTTTTAAAGACCGAATTTTGTACAACAGACACTATCTGAGCTAAAAACCTTATCAATTTTTTTTCAATTCGAAACATCGGGGATATAACTGAAAACGAGACCTTCACTATTCTCTTAAACGACTTTCGCACTATTGAACAACAAAATTTAATCGAAAAATTTGAATAGATTTTTTTGAAAATTTTGAAAATGTCTGAGGGATTTCATGTAAAGTACTCCCAAAAATTAAAATATCTGTTTCAAAATCCAGGGGCCGCGTCATCAGCCAGATCGATTGAGGAATATCAATTTTGGAGAAAATCGGCCGAACAGTTTCGCCGCTAGCGTTGGCCACAGACGGACGTTTTGCCGTCAATCGTATTTCGGAACCAAGAACCAACAAAACGTGGATTTGGGCTGCACCACGTGTTAGAGGATTTAACCTCTAAATTTAGAAACAGTATTTATTCGCTTTTTCGTTACCAGAGCCCGCCTATAATACTTTTTCCGGCAAAAATTCGTCGTTTACCGACGCACAATTATATAAGTGAAACAAAGCAAAACAACAACAACCAACAACCAATAGTAGTTCACAACAACGACTAATGCAACTCAATATCTGAGACAGAGAATTCCTTGAACAATGAATGAAATTCTTGCTTTGTGTGACAGACACGGCCTGGGTAACAAGGGTTAATAATGTTCTGTACATCATTTTATTCATATTCATACTTAGGCTATTAAAAAATTACAGCTGTGTATGGTAAATACAAAAAGATCAACATTTATCTGAAGAACTCTCGTCATACATATTCCAATAGACTGTTTATGAGTTTATTGCCCCTTAAACACAATAAATTTGAAGACGGCTCTGCTAAAATTTACTGTCACATAGGATATGTCTCATTTAACAATTCTTAAGTTAATCTTTCTTTAAACTAAGTGGAAAAAAATAATGAAAAAATAAATTTATCCTTACTATCATGTTATTTCAATTCAGTCTTTATTATAAAAATAGTTACAAATTGTGTACAAAATATTTGCATGGCACTTCAAAAACAATGTACTGGTACTTGTTTTTACAATTCATTTAAATGTACATTTAGGTGAAACATTGGCAGTTCAATAAAAGAAACTTCAAGATTTGCTTCTTGTGTAGAAATGTATCTAAGCACTTTCTCAGTACAGGCAAAAAATATTCAGTATGACAATGTTTTTAAATATTACAAACTCAAAGAAAAGGAAGCTATACCATGGGCAACAATAATTGCATGCCCAATAATTGGTAGCTTCATTTACTGAGCAAATATAACGTTACATTTATTTTACACTCAGAAAAATCAATAGATGTAGCTTCTAAAAATTTTGCAATTTAAAGATGATACAAAAGTTACAATAACTAGCTGCTTTAGAATCATAATAATTGTAAAAAAAAGTAGAAAACTATAACATTTTTTGAGATGATTAATATTCAAAAGTGATGCATTTTGTTTTAAGGTATTCATCCAAAGCTGCTTTTCCTGAAAGAGGAAAAAATAAATTTATTTCTTGGCATTTCATTATCCCAATATAATTTTTTTGAAAAAATAATAATAATAAAATAAAAAAATAATTTAAAATAAACGCATATATAATAAGACAATACATACCCAGATCCTTTCCGAATCCAGACTGTTTGAAGCCTCCAAATGGAGCTGCCACGTCAGTCTTGTTATAAGTATTAATAAACACAGTGCCAGCATCGATCTTTTCAGCAATGTAAAGGGCTCGGTTAATATCTCTTGTAAATACACCCGATGCAAGTCCATACTCTGTGTTGTTTGCTCTTTTTATTACAGCATCTACATTTCTGAAATCAATACATTTTTATGCTAATTGAACAATGAATTACTATATCAAATTTTTATTTTTATTTGTTCAATGCATTTAACTATCTACCCTTTTGATTATATAAATTATGGCAACACCTTTTGAAGCTATTCAGCTATGGGTGAGCCAAAACAGCAATAATATTTTCCATTCCACATTTTCAAAGGAATTTCTGCTTAATACCAATGCCTTAGAAAAGAAACCTCTGTCCCCCAAACACTCACCCGCTCGCAAACTTAGAAATCACCATTACAGGTCCAAATGATTCCTCTTGAGCAATATACATGTGATCTTCGACATCAGTGAACACTGTTGGTTCAAAGTAAAAACCTTTTCTGTCAGCTCGTTTCCCTCCACATAAAAGTGTAGCACCTTCTTTAATACCAACATTACAAAATTCAACTAATTTATCCAAGTGAGCTTTGTGATTTTGAGGGCCATGTTCAGTGCTACGATTAAATGGATCACCCATGACCTAGAAATTCAAGTTAAACATGTATTTTAAGAGAAAATTTGCTTTTAACTATCATATCATATTTAATTGAAATATAAGTTCAATTGCATGTAAAATTTGGTCTAATGTTGTGAACATTGAATTTCATGTTAAAACAAAAAACTCCTCTCATAATAATTTTTAATGTTGTTTTATTAAAATCTATATTTTTTTATGCTAAACCAACGTTCCATCAGAATTTCAAAAGATAAAAGTAGTTAAAAAAATCCTTCATTGTATTAAACAAATAATGTTTTAGTTTTAACTATTACACAAAAAATAATTTCATGCAGCTTATTCAGTGATGAATTTAGAAAAATGAAGGTATTCATAATTAGTAATATGACATACTATTTACCATTTTCTTAGTTTCTTTAACTACTCTCTCAACAAACTCATCATGGATAGAAGAATCCACAAACAAACGGCCTGCTGCAATACAGTTCTCTCCCTTATTGAAGAAAACTCCACTCATAGCCTGAAAGAAATATTTCAATGTTTAATTTTGGAGCAAATATTTATGAGAACACAATATTTAGAAATGTTTTTATGTAAGTGACTCTTAACTCTCTTAGTTCTGTACACTGTTGCTATGAATTTAAGGTTGAGGATTTTAAAGTTTATTCAAAGATTATTAAATAATTCACATTCTAAAGTAGTTTGTAATACAATGTAGGAAGGAGCGCATTACTTTATTTCCAGTAAATAAACAATTTTCTTTCTTAACAATTATAAGATAACAATTTTCTTTCTTAATAAGATCTTTTGTTAACAATTAAAAAACTAAGAGTACTATTGAATTTTCAAAAACAATATTAAAGTGTTAGTTAACATATACATGGTAATTAAAACATAAACTCATTTCTAGATATGACTGTTAGTATCATTAATCTTATCTTGAAGTTATTTGTAACTAATAAAAATGTCTCTTAAAGTGAAAGATTCATTGAAAATTTTTTCTTTCATTCTTTGCATTGGGTATGTTTCATTATTATGAAACAATGAAATTAAAATGGCACACAAACATTTAAAACATCACTTGACAGAGACACCAATTACACTACTTGATCTTGACAATCTCTCAAGAAACCTATTTACAAAACATGGTCTCCACCTAAATCAGGTAGGCAAGCAGAAACTTGGTGCCATATTAACACAAGTGTTGAGCTTTTTTCCATCCTCACAGCCACACACCTCATCCCCATCTATCCCTCCATCCTCCTACCTACCTCCTCACTACCTGCTCCATTTCCACCTACCCCCCTACCACCCCCATTTCATGATCCTGTCCCAACGGCCACACCTGTCACTCTCACACCTGCTCCAATTTCCTCTCCTAGTCCAAATCCTAAACGTACAACTTTTCTTGCAACTGCAGACCACCTCCCTCTTATGACCAGTAGCAACTACACTTAACAGGAAAGCCCACAACACACAAAAACAAACATCTATATGTACTGCACCAAAATGGTCAGTCTTTAAGAAACAAGCTCACAGACGTAGAAATATTTTTAATGATAGACTCAAAAATTTTCTCAATTCAAGTAAAGTATTGACAGAGGCCCAACATGGATTCAGAAATGGTAGATCTACAGACACAGCCATCTTCACTTTTCTAAATGACATACTTGTTGCTCTAGATCAGAAAGAAATCCCCACTGGTTTGTTTGTAGATCTAACAAAGGCATTTGACATTATTGACCATCGCATACTGTTATCCAAACTTGAAACTTTGGGAATTAGAGGCATTGCACATCAATGGGTTAGATCTTACCTCTCAAATCGTTGTCAAGTCATCACAATCAAGCATGTTAGAGATAAAAAGATTTCTTCCCATTTTTCCCAACCTAGAATGATAAATTTTGGAGTGGCACAATATCAATCCTAGACCCTACACTATTTCTGTTATACATCAGTGGCATATCCCTGACAATACAGAAGAGTCATCCTATTTGCAGAAGACACAAACATTATTATTAAAGGAAATACCCAACAAACTCTGTAAAAAGAAACAGTCTTAAAGGCACTACTAAAATGGTTCCAAGAAAATAAACTCATCATAAACACCAGTAAAATTGTCTTCTTAAATGTTCAGAATCTATTCTCTAAAGAAATGCCTCCAGCACAATTGATGATAAAAGACATGCCTGGAAAAATAGCCCAAAAAACAACTTTCCTTGTATTGATTATTCAAGATGATCTAAAATGGAACTTCCATATCACAGATCTAAACAAGCTTACCAAATCATGTTATGTCATATACATCCTAAAGTCAAATTTTAACTTATATACACTGTGAATGGTGTACTTTGCAAATGTTCACTCACACCTAAAATATGGAATAATATTCTGGGAAAATTCACCAGAAAGTATTCACACTTTCATTATCCTAAAAAAGAAATATTGAGAACAATGAACCACTCCCATGCATGTACATATTTGAAATATTAATATTCACAAAGGAGACACTTATGGGAAACAAGCATTCTGTTACTCTGAACACAGAAGTTTATAACTATGATACCAGACAAAAAAGAAATCTGCATGCCCCACACAGTGAAACTTCACTTTAAAAAAATACCCTTAAAAGGCATTACACTATATAAAAGGCATTACACCTTATAAAAGGCATTACACTCCATTGCAAATTTAAAAGCTTAAACTTGATTTACACATTCAAAAATAAACTGAAAGCTTTCCTGTTAAACCATACATTCTACAGTAGAAAATAATATATACATCATAAACACGAATCTACATCAATATAAACTAGTACTAATAATTTTTGCTTTTTCTATTGCATGTTTTGAAATCCCCTACACTCGTTGTTGGAATAAAGGATGGACCCAGCCCAGGCACGAATCTATGAAGACTTTTTTTCTCTCTTTTTTCCTTTCTTTTTTTTATATTATTGTTTTTTTTTAGATTTTAGTTATTATTATTATTATTATTATTATTATTATTATTATTATTATTATTATTATTATTATTATTATTATTATTATTATTATTAATAATAATATTATTATTATTATTATTATTATTATTAATATTATTATTATTATTATTATTATTATTATTATTATTATTAATCAGCTATGAGGAGAATGGAGAATTCAGTGACAACACGTTATTGGGTCAATACTGTAAGTTTAATGTGGAAATACTTGCCATTCTAACAGCTCTGTCCAAATCACAATCATTAAAAATGATTAATGGACTTTTCCCTCCTAATTCAAGAGACACTTTTTTCACATTAGAATCTGCACAGGATCGCATGATCACTTGCCCCACAGATGTACTTCCAGTGAATCCTAATTTTCTGATGTCAGGATGATTAGCAATGGCATTGCCAGTTTCAGAACCTTAAAAAGAAAATGTGAATCTGTTAATACTTTGGTGAGAGCATGAAGATTGCCTCTGGTTGGGCATTCAAGCCTCTTTGACTTGAGGCAACAAGGGGCCTCCTAAAGACTACGCATTTCATTTAGTTAATGTAAATCTAATTGCTCTTAATAAACACGATTTACTTTGAGTCTTTTATAGTGAAAGTCAAAGAACAATGTTGCAATGTCATTGAAGGTTCTACACCAAATAGATGATTAGGGTTCATGATTTTTTCTTTACAATTACATTTCTAAATTAATATCTTTGAAATACATGCTTATTGAATATTAAGCCACCTACCATTAAATATTAGCTATTTACATGTTGTGTTATAAAAAAGCAACATTTTTTTATATTCTTGATGTGTAAAGGACTGTTGAACTGTGTTGTATTATGACATTGCAATATTCATGAAGACTGTTTTTGTTACAATACTGAATTTATTGCGGTAATGATATGAAAGTATTTTGTCCTTGAGCAGTGTGCATTATACGTTTTGAAAAAATTATTTCGTGTGGTTTTGTTTAGCTGTAGACTATTATATCTCTCTAGTTGTAATACAAGGTTAACCATGTGAACATTATGTTCTCTTATAACATGGATATTTTATAATAATAATAATAGTATTTATTGAGTCACATATACAATTACAATCTTGTATGACAAGTCAATATGATGTCTTGGGTGGAGAGAGAGCAAAGTTACATTACTGTTCAGGAGCAAACAAGGGGCCATCTCAGCATTTGCTCAAGGGACCAGGGAAACTGAACAAAACCCGATCGAGATGGGATATAATATGGAGAAAGACAGGAGAAATAGATGAAGAAAAAACAAATGAGAAAAGAAAATGAGGCATTTCCTTTCAGATTGGTGGAGAGCTTCATAGACAGAGATTTTTTGCAATTTCTTTTAGTCCACATTTTTCTTTCTGTCAATTATGTTTGTTTTCTGTTTGTCAGTTATGTCTTCTTAGAGATTTCTGTTTGCATCACTATTGTACAAAAAATAAGACACATTGCAAAGTGTAGAACACACAACACTCAACTTAATTAGGGTCATTTCTGATGGTTTTAATAACCACAAGAAATTCGCCTTTTCTTGCCACTTGCGCCTGATGTTCTGTTATGCATCAAAAATCAGAGTTTCCCTATGAAAGTGTAGTTGTGTTTGGCTCTCATTTTTAGCACACAAATGAGAGCAAAAGCTGTTCATACAATTTTGATTTTTTTCGTTTACTTGGTCAGAGAGAGACTTTAATACCTTCAGAAATGTGTATTATCATATTTGATTATAAATAAGCTATCTTTATTCATACTTAAACGAATGTTGTAATAAGTGAATTTGGCAGTAAACAGAATTATTGTGAGTGGTATGTTGAGCACAATTATTGGTTGAAAGCTAGTTTTATTTGCTTTAGGAACTTTTTGATGTATCTTTTCAATTACTATCTACAATTACAATCTAATACTAATCTTAATCAATGTTCCTACCTTTCCCTGGAAGAATATTTATAACACCTGGTGGGATACCTGCCAGAATGGACAACTCGGCAAACTTAAGTGCACTAAGGGGTGAAACCTGAGCTGGTTTCATAACCACAGTGTTCCCTGCAGCAAGACAAGATGCCATTTTCCAACTCAACATCATGAGTGGGTAGTTCCAAGGAGTAACTAAACCACATACTCTGAAATCCAATCAAAAATAAATGAAATAATTTTGCTCAATCTAAACTTTTATCTTTAAATCTTAGAATACCAAACAACTTGCATTTCCATATGTTAGTACAGTGAAATTAAGAAAATGCTCAGTAAAGCTTTAGTCACTCTTTTGCAATATATTTTTAAATAAATCTTAAAATAACACGATTATAGAGTAGAAAATATAATTTTGACTTGTGTTGTTTTACTCTACAAAATAGATATAAAAAATTCTTACCCTATTGGTTCCTTTTTTGTTATTGTTAAGTTTCTATTGGGCCTGGCATGACTAATTGGGATGGTACTGCCTTGTATTTTATCACACCACCCAGCAAAATATCGCCAGGTTTCTATAGACATTCCCACATGTGTTTTTAATGCTAAAGTGTAAACAGCTCCTGAATCCAAAGATTCTATTGAAGCTAGCTCTTCTCGATGTGCATCCATCAGATCAGCTAATCTGCAAAAAAGAATTTTCATTATCAGACATCACTTATGAATTTAAGCCTCCAAGGTGCAGAGATAAATTTAATAAATTCCCCCTTTTTTTTTATTAAAAAAAAATAAAAATTTATTTCCCTCCCCCTTCCCTAAAAGTTGAGATTAAAAAGTTAAGTCAGTAAGGATAATCCTTCATCAAAATTCTAAAATGAGAAGTAATAAAATAATTTCACGTATTTTAACTTTCTCCTACTTTGTAGGAAGTACATACAGTATTATTAAAGAGAGACACTTTTTTGTCAATGAAATCACTTTGACATTACATCTTCAAATAATGTCAAGTACAATTTTTTGAAACTATTGGTAGTTTTCATGAACTTTTCAGTAAACTGAGACAACTGAAAAATTTGCAATTAGTATTTCAAATATTTATTTATATTTTAATCATTTATTCTAAGAATCGTTTAACTTTTTATGGATATTTTGTTTTTTTTGTTTTTTGTTTTTTGTTTTGTTTTTTATAGTTATATTTAAATCTGAGCCCTTGTTCCAGAGATATAACCCAAAAATACTAGCCTTGAGTGGATTCTTTTCTGACTTCACTGCACATTGACAGCCACCCACGAAAGTGATATGAGAAGGTCCTAAGTTGAGCTGTGATTTGCACTTATGTCTCAAAAGTTGGTTGAGCTATCTGGTAGTAGTCAACTAGATTATCTCTATCTGATCATCAATGTTTTCAGAGCACACAATTCGGTGGTTGAAGTGAGGGTTGTGGAAATTGCAAACCACATCAGGTAAGCTTTCTTAAATTAATTTCAATTGACAGTTCTCCTGAGTTTGTGTAGCCCAATTAAATTTAGTATTAAATGATGTTCTACTATTCATTATAATGAATTATTAATGTATTTTTGATTTTGTCCCATCATTTTTTTATGATTTACCTTTAGTTTATTAGAATGCAATATGCTACCTGAATAATAGATGGCCTCTTTCCCGTGCACTGATTTTGGACCATTCACCATCTTCAAAAGCTCGCTTTGCTGCTTGCACAGCCTTGTTCACATCATCCTTGGAAGCACATTGCACCTACCAAAAATTTGCTTTTAGATTTCAATAGACAATAACAATTACTTTTATTTCACAATAACATTACACTTTACTCTTGAACAACTATAAAACATGAGTGTTGTCACAGTTTTCCCACTTGGCTTAAAAGGACAATCAAATTTGTATTTATATGTATTTTGTTTAATGTGAATTAATAACTCCTTGTCAAGATGTTCTCCAAATAAGACATGCTATTGCAAGTTTTCTATGATATGAATTCATTTCCGGGAAGACTAATGTTACAGATATTATCAGATTTTTAAAAATGTGCAAATTCTTTGGGAACTCAAAACATAGAGCACTTAGTTTAAAAAGAGTTATCTTTCTGTTATGTCTATGATGCAACCAAAACAAAATTTTCTGAGCATTTAATTTTACTGGAAAGTGTATTTCACAGGACATGTTTTATTGCATTTTATTTTAAAATTTTTATTGTGATATCTGCTATTGGAATTATTTTTTTAGTATGAAAGAAATTAAATGTTGAATAACCATAATTTACCTTACAAATCACACTTTCATCATGTGGATTAATACTGTCCAATGTTGTGTTAGGTACAGCATCAACAAATTCACCATTTATGAAAAGTTGATTAGGGAAATGCAGAGTCATGTTGTTTGCAAATACATCAATAGATTTGTGCATTAGTTTCTTTGTTTCTGAACCTCCTCGACATTTTGTTATGACTAGTTGGGCAAAATCCTTAAATGTTGTGGCCATAAATAAATCTTCATTTTGAATTACAAGATTCAGTTTGTCTTTAACTTCTTCCACAAGCCTGCAAAATACAAAATATTTCAATGAGTAATACTTCATCATCTTTAAAAGAGGTGAACAAATGTATCTTGCTTTCTTTAGTAATGCGACACATCAAACATAATCAACATGGACTTTGAAGAATTAACTATTATGGAATTTTCCCTAATGTTACTTTTATGTGCAGGGAGCAACAGATCAAAATGCAATAATGCCAAGACAATTAATAATGCAGATATGTATTATATTTATGCATTATGATGCATCATATGATGACCAAAATGTTGGCAACTCTGCCTAGAAAAGACAACAATCTATTGATTCTGGATGCATATCCAGTTCTTTCACAATACATTGTACTTTGAAGGGGTCCTATCGCTCCTTCCAAAGCTCTCCAGCCCGAAGTGGGCCAGGATTTCCTTCACGATTTGCCTCCGTTCCTCTCTTCTCTCAGCCCTCCCACCACCTAATAACTTTAATCTTCTTCAGCTCATCTGTAACATCCTGGATTCAACTTTTCTTGGCCTACCATGTTTCCTTATACCTAGAAAATTATTTTTGTGTATGTTTTTAGAAATTCTTACTGTTTCCATTCTCTGCACATATCCTAACCAAGATATTCTGTACTTCACAAATTTAATGCTATCTTCTCCACTGAGTATATTGTTTAATTCTTCATTATATTTTGTCCACCATATCCTTCTCATTATCCTTTCTCCTTATCTATACATTCTTAACTGCTCCATATATTCATCTTATGATTATCCTCTCCAATCTACATATAAGCGGTCATATCACTGAAATTAAGATTTTCTTTCTTGCCTTTTTCAATGAACTTTATATTCTTTGATACAGCATTTCTTTGTTATAAGTTTAGAAAGATTAGAAAATATTAAGAATTTGCTTCAAAATAAATTTAAATGAATTACGGTATCATACATTTTGATTTGTTGCTCTGCGTATGTGAAAATATCATGAGAGAAGGTAAAGAAGAGAGTTAAGACAAAAGAAGAAACTGAAGAAATTGAAGTGATACAAATCATTACCTCACAACATCCATTGACCCAGCTCCAGAAGCAAAGAAATCTGTGTTATCTTCAACATTTATGTTCAGTATTCCATTCCATATACAAGCAAGTTTCTTCACTGTGTTTCTTTCTTCTTCTGTGTAATCCAGTTGTTCTTCTGCTTTTCCCTCCTGACCATAATTGCTTGCAGCAATCATTTTTCCATCAATTGATATTCGCTTAATATTGACCTATAAAATTGAAATTATTTGTATTTAAGATTCTTAAAATATATCACAGCATAAAGTTATACGGGTGATCTAATATGTGTACATGTCTATGAACAGAAATATATTTAAATAAGGAAGGAAGTGTTTCACAATCACTCAGTTGTGCAGTCTTTGGGAAATTATTGTTTACTTTTTCCTTTCTCCATGCAGTGTAAGTTATGAAATGCTTCATTGTAAATGTCATTTTCTTTAAAGAAAAACACATTTTGTGGATTCTTGCACCAAAAAATTCTTTTCTGTATAGGTAGTATGATGAAAATAGTAATTTTGGAGATCCTTGATAACAAAAAATGTGATTTCTCTAAAAACATCTGTCCGTCTGTCTGAACAATACTAATCCCCGAACTGTATACAGGACTTTCAACAAAATGGATATTCCCTGATCGATTTGACTGATGACATGGCCCTTTAAATTTAAAATAGATATTTTAATTATGGGGAAGCCCCTAATTTTTGAGATTTTCTCAAAAAAGGTTACAAATTTTTCATCGAATTTTTAACTGAAATCGGGTCAAGCATTATTATAAAAATAGCAATTCTGATTTTCAGTAAAATTGCAAAAGTTAAAAATTTTGTTCAATGCCCTCTCACAACTACGTTATTGAAGATAGACATTTTTTCTTAATATAATCTGTTTCTCAAGTTGTATCTTTTAATAAGGGTATGTAGAATTTTGTCAAAATATTAGAATTCTCACGTAAATTTGAGTGAAATAATGATGACTAAAAAAACACACGTAAACAAAATTTTCTCAAAAACAGTTCCAAATATTTTCTTTGAAGTTTTTGCTTCAATAAAGTTCAAACACCACCTCTGCAAAATATTGTTGTAGGCTAGAACATTTTTATAGGTTCAATTAGTGAGGTAATGTTTTGTTACATTTAGAAACAAAACATGAGAGTATATGCTATTGAAGCACTACTAACTTGATACAAGACATTTTGTGAAATTTTTTTAAAACATAACTCACACACAGTTGAATGTATTTTTAATTGTGAATAAAGATTGAATTTTCTGTCTGTCCATATTATCAATTTTCTCCAAAATTTATTCTCATTTATTTTGAACATCAAAAGACAGTTAAAAACTGTGTGACATATTATGTGAAGATGCGCAATTTGTTCATATGAAAAAAAAAAATTAAATTAAATTAAAAATTAATGAAATTAAGTGATTGAAGTCAAATTCTAAAATATTGATTGATTACCTTAAAAAGAAATAATCATAGATGAATTTCATTTTACTTAAATCATCCTTGAAAATGAAATATTTTACAGTCTTTTATTTTACTATATTTAATTTCAGGTATAGTGAGAATATTTCTGTGGGAATAAAAATTTAACTTACCAATTTATTATCTGAACCATGGAGTAGAAGACCTTCTGGATGTATTATTCCTTTACCTGACATCCCAGAAATCTCTACTTCTTGTCCATCCACTGTTGGTTTCTCCCATAATGTTGATCCAAATACTTTAGTTTGCTTGCCATTCATTACCACCCACGCACCTGGTGAGCTGTCAAGGCCACGAATAAAATTGTGTATTTTTTCTGCTGGAAGAGACCAATCCACCTGTACAAAAATTACATCCTCCTCTTAATTCTTGGCCTACACAAAGAGGTTTAACCCATTCATACAACTGGCTAATACTGACATCTATTCATATAAACTGCTTCTTAATCTGGACATTTTTTAACACAAGCATTAAAGCAGGATGTCTACAACTCCCCAGTTTTATGAAAACCATGCTTCTGGGTAAACTGTGAGTCCAAAGTCTTTGGGATTTACAATCTGCCTTGTGCAGTGTCATTCAGCAAGTTGCTGCAACTTTAACTTCTACTAATATATTACTGCTAGTAATAATAATGATGATAATAATAATTACTTGCATAGTTACATCTTCATCAGCCTTTCATTGAAGGCATTCTGATTCCCTATGCAAATAAAATTTGCCCCTTCCAATTTTCCTGTGAAGTGACGTCATTGAAGTTATGATGTCCCAAACACTCTTCTCTTCAACAATCTTTGTTGCAAACTAGGCATATTCTCAATCATAATTTGTGAAGACTATGTGTTAAGACTTGTTTAAGATTGCTTTTAAAGTTAAGTAAGAAAAATCAAATTAGTTTTAAATACTTTCTTGAAGCAATTTTCATAAAAAAAACTGTGAAATTCATTGAAAATAAATTTGGCATTTTATTAAAATAAATTCTTTGAAAATTAGGCATCAAATTTTTCTTAATTTTTCTATCAGCTGAATCATTATTTTAACATGCTATAATATCATGTGAAACAATTTAAATTTTGTTTGAGGTGCTGCTGCCACTGTTGTGTGACCATTTGTTAGGATTCTCCATGCAAGTGCCAAAGGGTTAAGGGCAGACAACAGTTGCTACTAGTTTGAAAGTCTTCTCAATGAAGTTAAGAACAGACAATTATTTGAATTCTCTAATGAGAAGTTAATTTAATAACTGAAAATTGTTTTGGTAAAAATTAAGAGTTTGGTTAAATTAAGAGTTTGGTAAAAATTAAGAGTCTATGAATACAGTTCAATGACATTTTGTGACATTACCTGCTGCAAGTCTACCTTGCCTAATGATGGTTCATAAGATGCACCTTCCTCTTTTTGTGGAATTTTTGGAGCATTTCCATTTGCTACCAAGTTGACAGCTTCTGCCTACATTACACAAAAAGTGAAGTTTATTTATTCATGAAGTGTTTAGTGGACAGATACTTTTCCTTCTGTTCTTACAGGTTATACTCATTTCCTAAGAGCTAACCTTGTGATGACATCATTAGCAGATACACCAATGGATGGTTATAATTATTAGTTAGATTTCTTTAATTGGGTGTAAAAGAGTTTTTATGGTCTTAGCATTCAACATAGTAATATATTATGTAAATATAAGAATCTTCAGAATTCTGAAGATTCTATAATTATATCATAATTGTTTCTCATTTTGAGATATTTTTTAAAAATTATTTCTATCAAAGTTGATATTAATGATGGATAGAAAGTGTAATATATCTCTATACTTTTATAAAGCATTATCAGGACATTGCTACTCATTTCTCTGTTATATTAAAATTGATGTACATATTTACAATTTGGACTGAGTTATCAATTTGTCATGATTTTTCTACTTTATTAACTTTTATTACAGTATATTTATATCTATTTCATATTAGTCTTTAAATGGCATACCATAGCTTTGATGCCTTCTGGATATAGAAATCGATTGTAGAGAGAATCAACTGTGTCATTAGGCTCCACTGGACAGGAACGTTGGAGTAAAATTGGTCCTGTGTCTAAACCATCATCTGCCCAGAAAATAGAGAAACCAGCTTGCTTGTCACCATTAATTAAAGTCCTGAAGAAAAAAAGATGGTAATATGAGGGAACAACAAATGTTCAATGAAAAATAATGACTTTGTGCTTCTGTCTGTAGCTTTTATGAATGTTTCTGATCATAGCCTGATAATACAGCTATCGGCTATACATTGATTTTTAGCAAAGTATTCTGTCACAAAAAATATGAAAATTATAATGATGATTACTGTTATTGTTGACTTCATCAGCAATGCTATTGTTGGAGCATAATAATTTCAACTACAATTAGATGGGAATAAAAATGTGTTTTTACTTTTTTGCATGGTGCTTACAACAGTATAGGGAAAATTTCGTAATGCTGCAGGGTAAAATGGAAATTTTTCGACAGTAAGACTCTTATTGATGGACTCTGATAAACATTGAAAAAATACAAAACCATAACATAAACAATTCATTTTTCAGTTTTTGAGAGGCCAGATCTATGCTTTTTGGGTTCATTGGAATACATTATTCGGTATTATCTGACAGGGAAAAGGAGGTAAAAATAATTTGATGAGAATGAGATGAGATGAATGGTGGTTAAACGATAAACAAACAAAACCACTCAAAATTTTGGCATTTAAAAATATTTCAGTTAAAATCTTGTAGTTTCGTAAAAGCGTGATGATTGCCTGAAAAAATTGCTTTAATTTGTGAATAGATGCCAGTAAAAACTCTCTAAAGGTTAAAGAAACATGGACAAACGTATACTCGCGAAAATTTTTTTGGACAAATTCACGGGGGTTGAGACGTCGGGTTTTTCGGTGACTTCTTAGATGACTAATTTCAAGCACGCTTAACAGTTCGTAAATTCCTTTATTTTTATTCAAAAAAGTTATTGTTTGCACTGTGACGTCATCTCCTCCTCCCAGATATCTTAAAAAAAACAAACAACAACTTTGGGCTGCGTAGAATAGCTCAGTCTATACCATCCAAGAATATAATTATTTGAATTAAGGCCTGCCAACGTAGAAATAATTAATGGTATTTGAACATATCTGTATATATAATAATGCAAGTTATTAAATATATAATGCATCTTTTAGCACACACACACACACGCACACGCACACACACACAGCTGTCCGCTGTCCTATCCCCCTACTTTCCTTACTTTCCCACCTAGTTTTCCTCCCATCCCACAAGATCCAATAGGTGGACTGAGTAGCTTATGGGATCTTGCTCCGCTAATCCCTACGAAAATCCCCTTCTCACCTTCCTTCGCAATTCCATCTCTGCTGCGGTAGCACTATAAAACGCTAAGGAAGGTCACCAGCCGCGAAAATAAACCAGTGATGGGTATGAAGTGAGCCTCAAAACTTACTACCAAGCGAGCTCGAGCGTTGACGGCCGAATCTCGCGCACCGAATTCTATCGGGTGAAAGGCCCTGGGGGGGATTTAGTCGGTGCCGGGGGGCTCCATGGGATTTTGGGGGGAGCCAAGCTCACAGTGTGTCTGGGAAGAGAATAGGAGAGTGAAGTTTCTGGGAGTTGGGGAAGAAGATCGGGATCATCCTGCATTTTGTCCCTGCCAAGGAATAATGTCCAGCGGGGAGATAAAGCGTAATGGTCAGTTTTCCATCCGATCTGACTTTGATGAGATGGTGGACATGGAGGAGTCACCTACCTGTCAATTACTGCGCAGACAGTTGAGGCGGAGACGCAGCTTTCACCTCAAGACATGGGGGTGTCGATCCGAATACTGATGGTTATGAGGGCCGCTCGACAAGGCAGCAGCGGAGGTGCAGCCTACGGGGAACAATGTAATTGGCGCGAAGACTATTGAGGCCGGACACGGACTCTGCCGCTGACGTCGGTGTTGGCCGTAATTTTGATGATCGTGGTAGGTCGTCGGCGGCGGAGTTACGAACCGCATTTAATGATGTTGTGATTTGCCTGAGGACGGCGGAGGTGGAGACGCAGGTTTCACCACAGACTTCTGACTATTGGCCCGAATGCTGATGATTGTGGTGGGCACTTGATAGCGGCGGCGGAGTTCGGACCACAAGTAAGGCGGTGGAGAACTTCGTCGAGGAAAGAGAGACGCTGAAATCTACGAAAGTGCAGAGAAGAAGCTATCAGAGTCGGTGCAGGGAGGAACATTCAATCATGCTGAGGTCCGATCAGGCACTGGCCACAAAACGTCTGATGAGACACACAGCAAAATCATGAGATGGATTGGGCATAGTCGTAGGGGAGGAAGAGACGGAGGCGCGAGCCGCACTCTTATCGCCCCGAACTCGTTATTGTTAAGGCAAATGAGCGGAGGGCCCTTCCTATCAGATATTCTAAGGCAATCAAGGGCGACCATGCTCCTGAAAGATGCCTGGTGAGAACGTCGCAAAGATGAGGAGGTAATTGGCAGCCGGATACCTGCTGCTGGAGTTTGCGGAAATCGGCAGCAAGCCTCGCGAGATTATCTGAGCTATAATCCAAAAAACTGGGCGAGTTAGCAAGAGTAAACGAACGCGGAGAGGACGAAACGACTTCCTCGAGATTTCGGACCTTGACGAGCTGAGCAACGGCGGCCGCGTCTGTGAAGCTGTAAGCAGGGAACTGAAAATCACCTGTTGAGCTAGGCAAGTGTCATATCGTTCTGAGGGCTTAAACAGAGGCACACAACTGCAGTGGTCCGTCTACCGACGGAACTAGCCAGGAGGGCATTGAGGAGCGGCCGTGTCGCATTGCGGGTGGGGAAACTGCCGCGGTTAGAGAGCAAAGTAATTGTGCGGAAGTGTTTATCGTTGTTGGGCGTCGGGGACATCTGGCGCGCGATGCCAAGGGACCAGACAGGTCGAATCCTGTCACGCGATCGGAGAGACGGCCACTTGCGTCAGGCTTGCAAAAGCCTGAGGCGAGGTGTGTGCTCTGCAAAGATAAGAGGAAGCACCCGACGGGGAGTTTCACGTGGTCCCGGCCGTACGCAAGTAGCAATGAGGCAACGGATAACAGAAAATGAGAGTTCTGCACAGCTTAAATTTAAATCATTGGCGGAGCGGCCCAGGACCTCTGCACCCAGACGGTGCGCGGAGATGAATATAGAATGTTTGCAATACTCTGCGAGCAGTACAGAAAATATTGTCGGTCTTCAGTCCTGGGTTCGGATGCGAACCTAACGAGCTGCAGTATGGGATATGTGGTAATAGTCCCCGTCGCAGGATGTTATGCAAGTCCCAAGGGGGATTCACCTGGATCAAAGGGTTCCTTTTATATTTCTATAGTGGTTTATGCTGCACCCAGTGCATCGCTTGAGGAGTTCGAGGATTACTCCATCGCTAATAGATGACGCGAGAGAACGAAGGCTTCTTATTATTGCTGGGGACTTCAATGCATGGGCCTAGCGGAGTGGGCAGCAGAAGTAACGAATCGACGACGGGATGGCTTCTCCTGGACAGCCTTGACAGTTTGGATGTCGGCCCTCTGCAACAACGGGGGCCAGTCCGACCTTTGTAATGAATGGTCCGCAGTCTCGGTCGTTGACGACTACTTTCGTCTGTAAAAGCCTTGCTAGACGTATTGTAATCATGGGAGGTTAGTGCACATTATACACATAGTGACCACAAGCCTATTGTTATGAAGTTGAAGAGAGTGCTATGTTGAGCTCACAAGGGTAGAAAGGAAAGCCTGTTTGGAACCAACAGGAAAGTTTCGCAATCGTGATTCCTTCATTGCCATGATGGGAGGGCAACCCTGAAGATATGTTGGCCCGTGACTCTGAATATATTTAGAAACCGGCATGAACGGGTATTTGACGCTTGTGATGCGTCACATGACCAAGGTCCTACGGAAGAGAACGCCGTCCTCCAGTGTAAGCTGTGGACTGACGAGATCGCGGAACTTCGCAGGAATTGCTACCGAACACGTAGATTGGCAATCAGCGCGCCTGGAGCCGCCCAAACTTAATGAATTTCTCAGAAGCAACATCTGGAACGCCATGAAGAGCTTTCAGCAAAGCATTAAGATTAGTAAGTGTCGTTGCTGGAGAGAGCTAGGGAGGAGGTGGTGCTTGACCCCTGGGGTCGCCCGTAATAAGCTCGGTGAAAGGCCAGAATCAGGGGTATGTTCAGGCGACCACCCACTTGGCCCGGTTTTCCTTGGGAAAAGTTGTAGCTACGCTTTGTTTCCTCGCCAGGTAGATATGTTACAACGAAGGATCGTCTGGAAGATCTAAAGCGAGGTAACGGCAGTCCCGGTTGGATGAACTTTCCAGAGCTTGCGGCAAGGTCCAAGTATTGCAAAGCCCCCGGATTAGATGGGGTACCAAATGTAGCAATTAAGACCGCTATTAAGACTAGACCCGATCTAATTCTTGCAGGCGTATAATGCATGCATACGAAACAGAGGGGAATTCCCCCGTCGATGAGCGCAACAGCTAGTCCTTCCGAAGGGCGATAAGGCACCTACTGAATACCGGCAGGCCTATCGGCCAAATGCTTAACTGGACACAGCAGGGCCAAGTGTTGGATGCGGATTATCTGCAATCGTATTGAGTCTATTTACAGAGGGGCCTCAAGGATTGTCTGATAAATCAGTTACGGGGCCCCCCCCCCCCTTTTTTTTAGAAAAAAAAGCGAGAATCCACGGTAGATTTGCAATTAAAGTGTCAGCCGACATCGCACGCAAGGCGATTGAAGGCAAACGATGGAAAGGCGGTGCTATGAAAGTATTTTTTTTTTTTTTTTTGTGCTATAGTGATCCTAGACGTGAAAAACGCCCTTAACACTGCAAGGTGGAGCTCATTCTTTCTGCGCTTACAAACTCTTGTAGTTTCAAGGTACATCTCGAACTTGTAAAAGTTACTTTAAGGAGAGAAATCCTCCTATTGAATGTGTCTGGAGTACAATCCTTATACGGTCACGAGGCGGTGTCCAAAGGCTCGGTACTTGGTCCGTGTTGTGGAACATTATGTATGACGGCCGTGTTGAAGCTCAAGTTGCTGGAAGCGCCAAGAACGATTGGATTCGCTGCCGATGTTGCAATTGTCCGTTGTCGCAATAAGCTCGAACAAGTCACGCAAGGTTGCCAAACGAGGCTGTGGCGGAGGATCCGGCGGTGGCTTACGGTGGTAGGGCTACAGATGGCCGCCATAAAACCAAGAGATGTGCTGGTGACGGCAGAAGTGAGAGAGAGTTACTCTTAATGTAGGAGGCTTTCAAAATATCTCGACAGCTGTCAGCTGAGGTATTTGGGAGTGCATATTGACGCGAGACTGCGCCTTTGACGAGCACCTGCGCAATGTCCCTGCCGAGAAAGCATCTCGTATGGCATCGTCGCATTGGCACGCAATTATGCCTAATTGTAGGGGGGTCCCTGGCAAAGAAGCCGGAGGCTGCTGACTAGCGGTAGTAAATTCCATTCTCCTCTACGCAGCCCCTGTTTGGGCTGATCGCCATGGGCAATTCAGTCATACGCCGCGTGGGGTAAGTCGGTTGCATAGAAGGTCCGCCTTGCGGGTTGCTCGAGCGTTCCGCACCGTATGCCTAATGATGCTGTGTGTGTGTGTGTGTTTTAGCAGATATGCCTCCGATCGACCTCATTGCGGCAGGAGAAGAGCTAGACTCTATTTGCCAAGCGGGAAGGGGGCCTGCCAAACTGGAATACCATTAGGAAAGAAGAGGGGGGTGACAATGGACCAATGGCAACGACGATGGGAGGCAATCATCAACTGGGCGAATGGACTTTCGGGTCATTCCCGACATCATGACGTGGATTTCAAAGGGGAACATGGAGAAATTGATTTTTATCTAAACTCAGATGCTGACCGGGCATGGAATGTTACCGGACAGTATCAGCTCCGATTCCCGGTTGGAGATAGCTCTCATGCCCAAGGGGTTTCCCGGTGATTGAAGATGTAGAACACGTGTTCCTTTCATTGTCCACAGCTTCGCAGTGGGAAAGGGAAGAACTTCACAGACTCCTCCAAGAGGAAGTGACCCCGAAGACCATCGTCACTAGGATGCTGGCTGAACACAAGAGTATTGGAGGTGCGGTAGCCACCTATGCCGCAAGGTCCTGAAGACGCTTCCGCTCCGAGGCAGCAGTTACGAGAAGACTCCCGTATATTTCGGTGAAGTGCGGGGCAAAAGCCCCATCCTTCCTTTCTGCCGATGGCAATGTCTAACCCGGGCCCCCCCCCCCCCCCGGGGGTTTTTTCCCGCGGGAAGGAATAGGAGGAAAGGGAGGGGTTTTTAGTGGGTAGGCATAGGCTAGTATTTAAATCCACACGCTGCGGGATTTTTTTTTTTTGCGGGCCCCGCTGTGTCTTTTAGAAGATTTTCCCTGCCCACGTAAAAAACACACACGCCACACCCCCCACACACACACAGCCATATATATAAATATTTATAATATATATATATATATATATATATATATATATATCCTTATTGGACTCGTCATACACGATTATAATTGTATATGTGACTCAATAAATATTATTATTATTATTAATTTACCAGCTTATGGCACTGACTCCTCTGTGCTTTGGGAGAATTGATGGATGGTAGCAAATACTTTTCAGTGCGGGATAATTGATAACTTGCATGGGTATGAATTGTTTGCAGAAAGGTAGCACATTCAAATCTGCCCCAATATTTTTATACTGTTCAACCATCTCTGGAATTGGTAAGCCAGCTTTTCGCCATGCCTTCACTTTAAAAACTGGTATGTCATCAGCTGCAGCGGTTGAGGCTAGAAATTCAACATTCTCAAATTGTAATGTTTTCTAATCCGATTTTAAAATTTTTGGTTTTTGTGTGACTTGTATTAATGTAATTACATAGAAAATTAAACTACTAGTTTCATTTTATTAGTAAACTTACCTAAGGGATCTTCTCTATTTCCTTTGTCAGGGACCGTGAATACTCCAACAATTTTGTGGCCATCTTTTCGCAAAAGTTTGTAAACTTCTGCCGCAAAGGTACTTTGCCCAATAATAGCAACTTTTAATCTGTTGAAAGTAGTCTGTAAAGCGAATTGAAAAAGACGATAATTAACTTCCAAGTCTTCAATATTTGTTTAATTTTACAATGTTGGGAACATGCATTTGCAATATCATACAATCTTTGATGACGCTGACGATGAATCGATCAAATTGAGCGTGCCTATTTGGAGATAACCGATGCGAATGATCTGACTGAGTCGTTTGTGGCAGTGAGAGCCGACCGCAAAGTCACCTGTTCCGATCGTCTTCGGCTTGAGAACAACTCGAGACCCTCTCGAGAACGCTACTTCGCACGCTCTCCTCGCTCTGCTCTGGAGATGCGCTCTCCGCAGAAACTTGACACTTGATTCTCTGTGTAAGTCGACGCCCTGAATCCGAATCTGAAGTCAGAATTGCGCCACCACCGTCCATTTTTTTTTGTAATCGCAAAAAAACACTGTGACATTGTATTTTTTCTTTTCTTTTGGGAGTTGTCAGACCGAAATATTTGACACACGTATTCTATGTGGCCGGCCTTTGATAAAATCTTGTGCCTACGTCTGATCGAGATACGTACATTGTTAATAGCCGGTAGATGTTACCGCACGAATACTTGTAGTGCAAAGTTTTCTGCATAAAATGACTAAATACGTACACTTCAGATCTTAAAATTGGTCTAGTTAAATACGTAACACAATGCTTGTTAGTCATTCCGCGTCAAGTCGCACACTCACAAAATATCACTATTTTTTAGCGACTTGAAACTTTTTTAATGAAGTCTAAGGTTGAAGAGATGACACTTTTTTTTTCTTTTTTTCCCTAATCTGAGCCATTTAGGAAATATTGCATATTATTTTTTCCGCAAATTAATGCGCGCGATAACGTTTAATTTTTTGCGTCAATACCGTTTTCCCCAGAAAAATAAAATTATACTTAAATTTAACTTGAAAGAGTACTTTCATACGATGTAAAAATATTTTTTGTTAACATTATTTAAATATATTCCAAAATGCCAGTTTTTACAAAAAATCGACACTTCAGTTAATTTTCAGAAATACTAATGTTTTTCTACTTACATTGTATAGACCTACAACATTTTTAAGAGGGGCAGATAAATAACATTTTAAAAAAATGTTCATCAGAGCACGCAGGCAGACCGCTGCCCGTCAAACTCGCCGCTCGAAATCTATAATTGTAGAAGTGGACGTTTAGGTTGTTACAACCAGCATTTTCGAAAACTTGAAAATTGACTGGTTGCTGTCAGAAAAAGCTATGTGTATTGGAAAAGCTGGTTATCAAAATTCCTTCTCGTGACGAGTAAAGTGAAGTGTTTTTCATGAAAGTGAGAATGGACCCTACTTTTTAATGCTGCAAATAGGTTGGGCAGTGACAATGATGAATAAACGTGAATCGCTGGTCCTGGTCCCCGCAACATAGCACCTAATGCAAGTAACAAAGAAACTGACTGAGTAAGTTCATCTTCTGTTTCTTGTGCTGTCTTCGCCATCGTTTGCCTTCTTCTGCTCTCTTCATGAGACAAATAAAATTTGATCAGTGGCGGCTCTGGGATTAGGAAACAGGAAGGGCACACCAAGTTACAGGATCAAACAATGTTAGGCATTTGAAAAATAGTTATATTTGGATTGTTTAAGTCACATTAGTAATATTTACAATCGAATTATCTCACCGGAAGACAGGCTAAACACATGATCTATAAATTAAATTGAGTCTTCTGTTGTTACATTCTGTAAATCTATTACTAATTCGTCAAAATTAAATGAGTCTCGTAACAAAACTCTTTATAATGAAAACATACAAAGTCCATTCAATCTCTCTTCCGACATGGAATTTCTTAAAATAGTCTATAAAATTTTCAAAGTGGAAAAGCTCTCTCGGATTCATTTATATAGCACATCCAGCTATTTCAGTTTGCTAGGACGAACGGAGAGTACTGTGAAACGCGATCAACCTTTTGTAGGGGGACATTTTCTTGATATTGTTGGAACGTTTTACAATCAAAGGGAGAACACATAGCAAATGCACCCTAATATTAAGATGGCCATTTACCCCTTTGAAATTTCCGTACAAAAGAACGATTGCCATTGCTATCAGATTGTAATTTTTTTTTATATCAGGCCGAGGTGGCCCAAATCTCTTCATGGACAGCCTTGTATCATAACCACATCGACAGTTTTCAGGCATGTTAAAGAATTGGAAACCATTCTCAATCTCAATGCACAATACGAACTGGACGCAAAGATCGGATTACAGCATTCACATAGTTTTGTCTACGGATCCGAAAGATGATGCCGACCATGCCCATTGCACATTACTGCCTGCACTGAATTCTTACGAATACCAGCAGATAGCACTGGCCTGGACGTAAATCAAGCGAAAGGAATATTGTATGTTTAAAAATCGATCAATAGATAGCGCCGGGCCACGAGGTTGCTACCTCCCCTGTCTGGCTGCTGGGCGGCAGCCGTCATAAGACGCCATTTGCCGAACCTATGTTGCCATTTCAACACTCATTGGCAGCGATTTCTATGTCTGTAAGTTCCGTAACAACACTGCGTTTAGGACACAGAGGCGAGTGTCCGCAGCCAATGACAATCGTTCTGCGGAACAAGCGGGAGTTAGAAAGCTGAAAGCTGATGCGTTCGATTCGAAAACAACCCTACAGACCCACAGATATTATTTTAGACAGCGCAAGAGAAGAAATACTGATCTCCGGAGGCGGGGGCAGTGTCTCTAGCGCTTCCCTGCCGCAGCCGTCACTGAATTGGACGCCTCGAGTTTTTATTATCCAGAGCAAATTATTCTTTCGTACTTGAAGATATTCGGAGGCTGCTGAGAATTAATGTCTTAGTTACTTTACATCCATTTGTGCTATACTTCAGAGAGAGCAAAGAATTTAAAATTAAAAAATATCAATTTCTGGATGCCTGAAACACGACACACTTTTCAGTGTCAATTCACACTTTTCAGTGTAAACCCATAACACTTCTCAAGTACGATTATGCTAGTGTTATCGGATATATTTTTCGACTGGGGTCAGGGCCTGGTTTAGAAAACAATGCGAGTTTATGCTTCTACAAAGATGACTTCTATATTAATGCTGATCTTCGCTTCGCAACGTCTTATGGAAAGGGACCATGCCACGTAGGGAGGGGCAAGTATAATATTCTCGATAAAAACTAGCCTTCAATTCTGACAGGAACCTATTAATTTACCCAAGAGGTTATATAAGTGGGCTTATGATAATGTGAAGAATATTACCTTTATATTTTTAGCAACTCTGAACAATACTTAGAAATAAATCTATTGCAACTGGTATAATAAAAAAAGGTGAAGGCACATAGTTTTATTTCTTTATGAAAAGGTGAAATAACGATATTCTATGCAAAGTGAAGTAAAAGAAATATCAACGTAAGTAACTGTATCACATGCTCTTCGTGTAAATATTCCGTCCATATAATACTAAATTTAATCCGTTTGTCATTTTCTAATTTGAATTTAATCGGCTATGAAGGTCATATGCGTATATATATATATATATATATATATATATATATATATATATATATATATATATAGCACATAATGTGAAGATGTGAAGAGATACTTCTATATACTGTTCTGTGAAAGACTCCTCACAAGATGACAAAGAAATCTCTTCACAAGATGTGAAGAGATACTTCTATATACTGTTTTGTGAAAGTATATTCATGGTAATCGTCTACTGCTGATTGGCATCTAGCAGGCGCTTCAGCAAAACAGCAAGTAGACATTTCTATTGTATTTAATTTCTCAGATCGTCTCAATGTCTCACTTTGTAACGTACCATACTAGAACTTTTTAGAAATTGTAATAGTATTTTTCTCATTTTTTTAAACTGTCGAGTTTTTGTAAAAATTAAAAAAATAGGTCAAAAAATATTTTTTTAAAAAATTTAATGAATTTAATATACGCATGAAATGAAAGAGCATCTTTTGTTCTTTAATGTCGAAAAATAATGAATTTCTGTCACAATTACAACACGAGTTAAAAATTAATAACTAGCCATGCAAGCATTTTTCGAAAATTTTGAAATTTATATAATCTCGAAAAATAACATTTCCGAAAATGAAAAACAGTGTTTCATATTTTTGTTTATACTCTTCACAAAAATATGTTTTAAAATCTGGGACGCCCCGGTCAAATTTTCCTTGAAAGTGTGCGGTTTGGCCGTGTAAGTCGACGCGCTGACTCCGAAACCGAAGTCAGAATTGTGTCACCATCTTCCAGTATTTGTCACCAGTCAATAGAGACATGACGAATCTCTCTCCGCATTTTTCTTTGTACTTGTGTGTTGTGTTTAAAAAAAAGTTTAATATTGATTTTAATGTAGATTAATTTGACTTTTTACAGAGATGTACCTGAAGATGGGGAAAAAATGTTTCGCGAAACGTCGTATTTGTTTAAAAATCGAAATATATTTGCAATTGATGTGTTTCCGTTTTGATCTATACCAATGATTGTTTCAAATTAGAAGACACAAAAAATAACTAACAACTAATAGACAATCAATAAAGATTAAAAAGTGATATAAATATCTACCGTTGTATTATCTTAGAGCGGCCGCTGAAGATCGAGGACTCAGAGCTGCCGGAAGAGTCCATTCCTCAAACTTATCGTTTTAGGGGGAAGCGCGTCCCTTCATAGCACGTGTTGACAGCCCTTCTCCTATTGTGTAAACATTGACCTTGATTTATCGAATCCGCGAGGTGCAAACTTGCAGTTAGCGTTTCTTACTAGAATAAAGCATTTTTTGAATGGAATTGAATTTGCCTTATTTTACGTGGCGAGACTCGGGCCATCAGGCCCGCTCTTGCGTCTGACCACGCACATTTCGCTACGCTCCTTTTGACCAACTAGGAGAGAAAGGAGGTATTTCTTGGGCGAGAAACAGGCGATTTGAATTTAGCTCAGAGGCGTCATTTAGGCTTGAGAATCTTTTACATGCAAGTAAATCTACGAACATGGGAAATCCGGCTTTACT